AACAAATCCATACAACTTCCCAGGAGAACAAGTCTTGGCTTGTATGTATGTTTTGGTACTGGCAAAGGAGGTCTAATGATGTAGATGCTCACCCCGTGCCCTCATTACTTTGATAGTGCATTGTCTTTGAGCTGTACGCCTTTTGGCGTCATCTGGTCGAGCACCAATTGGGTCGAGGCTCAAAAGAAAGTCGTCCCTTGGTGTGGACCAATCAGTTTCAAGGACAATGCACATATTATCATAGTATGTTTTTGTTTGCATTTTGACTGCAGGTATTGTGGTTAATGCAGACATGAATCCTTGTAAAAAGGTTTCAGTTTTGTTGCCAGAAAACAGGGAAAAACCCCTATTATTAGCATTATACTGTTTATAACCAACTCCCCCCCCCCCCCCCCCCACCGGGCTCTTAGATAGGAGGTGCTAAAGGTATGGGACATGTTATTTCACTAATACAGGTCAAAGTCTCATTCATGCATATGCATTAGTAGCTAATAGTAATCTGGCTGGCAATGCAAAGTTTGTTTAAACTTAAGCAATGATAACACTGTGTAAAATGCATTTATTTATTGTTCCTGGGTAGTAAGTGTTATTTCCGAATTGCTTATGCCTCAAAAGTACAGAAATGGTTATTATTATTCCCCACAAAATTTGCTTTTGTGACCATGACAGTGATATTTGGAAATTTACCTAATTCCCAGAACATTCCAGATAGATTCAGTGCTGAGTAAACTTGGAGTAACTTCTAGAACATTCTTAGACCTTTCCAGTAATATAAATAGTAGTATAAATACAGGGGCCTTAAGCCCACCAGTTCAGTCTAGTTCCAGCTGCCGAAATGGATACATATCTGCATTTTTCTGAGATGGCAACAAGAGGCTGCAAGCATCCGGCAGACATATTTTGCTATGTCTGCGGCCAATTTATCAAGACAAGAGCGACAAAGCACTCTGTTGAAGCATCTGCTAAGATGTGTGAGGCCTGCAAGGCACATTCCGGCATGCCTGTCGGGGAACAAGACAAACCCTGGGCACCTCATTTCACCTGCGAGCAATGCAAAGAAACGCTGGAAGGTAAGATGGACAATTGTTGCTCGGAATTTTATGTTATAAAATTTGTTACAATTTTAAAAATTGTAAAAGTTTTTAATTTTATAATGTTTTACAATTTTCAATGTTATTGAAAAAAATATAACATGAAAAATGTTGCGAGAATCTCTTACACATTAGTCATGGGTGAAATAAATGTATTTCTGTAGGATGGTACAGAGGGGAAAAGAGAGCCATTAAGTTCACTATCCCAAGAATTTGGCGGGAACCCACTGACCACTCAAGCAACTGCTACTTCTGCATGGTGGACCCTTCCAAACGTCGGACTGGCAAGAATGCATCTGCTATCATGTATCCGGACCTTCCTTCATCCATCGCCCTGGTGCCACACTGCCATGAGCTCCCCGTACCCACTCCTCTGGAGAGAGAGCAGTCGTCTTTAGAAGAGAGCAGCAGACGTAGATCCAGATGACAATTTCAGAGGTGGAGCTGAGGAGAGAAACCCATACTACCCAACCAAAAGACCTCAACGACTTCATCAGAGATCTTGGTCTCACCAAGTCCAATGCCAAGCTTTTGACGTCTAGGCTCAAGCAATGGAACTTGTTGGATGAAAGTGTGCAAGTCGCAGATCAGATGGGCTCTGCTTCTGCCACAATGTGACCAGTCTGTTTGAGGCAACCGAAATCGCCTGTAACCAGAACGAGTGGCACCTCTTCATTGACAGCTCATCCAGGAGCCTCAAAGCTGTGCTGCTCCATAATGGTAACCCGTCTCTTCCCCTGGCTCACTCAGTGCACCTCAAAGAGGAATACAACACCATCAAGACCTTGCTGGGCGCCTTGAAGTATGATTAGTATGGCTGGGAGGTCATCAGAGACTTCAAAATAGTGGCATTCTTAATGGGTCTCCAAGGCGGTTTTACCAAGTTTCCCTGCTATCTTTGCCTTTTGGACAGCAGGGACACCAAGGCGCACTACCACAGGCGGGACTGGCCACAGCGTACAGAGTTCCCTGTGGGGAGGAATAACGTCAATTGGGAGCCACTGGTGGACCCCCGGAAGGTGCTGATACCACCACTGCACATCAAATTGGGCCTTATAAAACAATTTGTCAGAGCTGTAGATAAGGAGTCGGCAGCCTTCAAGTACCTTCAAGACTTCTTCCCTAAGCTGTCTGAGGCCAAGGTCGGACCACAGATAATGAGGATCCTGGAGTGCAATAAATTCCTCAAGAAGCTCACTAGTAAGGAGAAAGCGGCTTGGGACAGCTTTGTTGCAGTGGTTCGTCGCTTCCTGGGCAATCACAAAGTCAAAAACTATGTGGAGCTGGTTGAGACTGGTGAAGGACTACGGCACAATGGGCTGTAGGATGTCCCTCAAAGTCCATATCCTTGATGCTCATCTTGATACATTCAAGGATAACATGGGAGCGTACTCGGAGGAGCAAGGCGAGCGCTTCCACCAGGATATACTGGCCTTTGAACGCCGCTACCAAGGACAGTATAACGAGAACATGATGGGAGACTACATTTGGGGGCTGATTCGTGAAAGTGATTTAAAGTGAAATCGTAAATCTCGAAAAACTATTCACTTCTAAATCTTTTGTAGTAAATTTTGTATTACTTAAGTATAAATACATGTTAATTTTTATTCATATGTTGTTTTTTTCTGACTTTATGTGAATGAGAAGACACAAATTCGCCCGTGTTCTCATTGAAAATAGGTAAATTTAAAAGTATCAATGTCCTGGTCACAAAAGCAAAGTTTGTGGGGAATAATAGCCATTTTCTATACTTTTTAGGCATAAGCGATTCCGAAATAACACTTACTACCCAGGAACAAAAATTGTGTGACATAGTGTAATGTTTAAGGTAGTACAATAAAATATTACTAGGTATTGTCTATTGAATGATTTCAGCGTATTGAGATGCAGATGTATTTGCATGCTAATTCAATCCAACGTGTATTGTTAAATTTTGATTTAAAGCTTTCGTGACTGCAGGGATTCATATTCTTGGTTTTATACTTTTATTATTTTATTGTTTCCCTTCTATGTGACTTTACCGAAAGAACCAAGAATATGTGTATTGTTACGTTTATAATTATGCATTTAGTGTTTTTTGTAAGGTTTTTATTTAGATTGGAATAAATATTTTTTCTCTAATGGCCCTAACAGACCGCTTTAAAATGCACATAACTCAAAGGTGGATTAATTAGACGTTTTCCACCTTTGAGGGACTTTCTGTTGGCACTCATGGTGGGTAGCCTATTAAAACCAAATACAACAACACTTTGAAGTTTAATTGACACAACACTTTTTTAATTCTCTGAATTTATTTAGTCTGCTGGCAAAAGGCTTCCCTCGCCCCATTCCAGCCTTTCCGTGACTGCTCGTGCCCGGTAGCGGCCTCTGAATTATTTGATTTTATCTTGACACCTCGACCACTGCCTTTCTCTGCTTCTTTTGCCTTCTCCCGGTGTCCACTCTTAATTAATTTTATTCATCTCTCATCAATTTGTTCTCATCGTGTCGTGTCCTGCCCATTCTTGCTTGACTTCTTTTGCTTAAAGAACAGCATTAGTGACCTTTATACTTTGCATAATTTGTTGTCCTTTCAGCTATCTCTATGACTTTTCACATCTTTCCACTGATATCTGGCTACCTTGTGGCTTTTTTAAAACTTGTTTCTGAGTTAATGACCATGTCTGGCGATCTGTAAACTAAAAATGACAAAATGCACATATACAGCTGGACTATATTCGAAATTTTTGTTCTTTTCAGGCGTGCAAATTTATTTTAAAAACCAAATTTACCCCCATTAATAAACAGGGGGAAAAAAACAAAATCTTGAACCACATTTTTCAAAGAGCAAACGCAAATGCAGACAACTGCCAGTGGTTTCCAATCGAGTGGTGGCTTCCCGTCAATAAACATTTCCCTTTTTCCGTTAACGTCGGTGTCCCATTGTGCTGCTGATCGCCGAGGCGTTGTATTGGGTACGCAGCGGGGCTAGGGCCTGCAAATTGTGTTTGCTGATCACGCACTGAATGTATGGTCAACTCGTGATCCACGATGAGTCTGTGGGGGGGGGGCAACGATTGTTGCTGATGGTCGAAGCATGCACCGGGCCCATGCGCAGGGCTGGACATTGCACGAAGAAAGTTTCATGAATGTTTTAAAAACATTCTTAGAAAACCACAGGTTTATGAAGTGTGTGCCAATGATAAGAATGTGATTATAACTGCCTTTGCCGCATCTTGCTGTACGATTTGGAGTAACCGACTGTTGAACATTAACTCGCTAGTGTTGCTTTAGAGTTTTTCTAGGATGATTGCTGTCCAGTGACCCAGTGGTGAACACACTGAGCCCCTGAACCCGTTGACCTCAGTTCTATTCCTACCCATGCCTAATATCGGCTGCAAGTGATATTTGAACAGGTCCCGGGCCCATCATTCCACCAATCGGCACTGACCAGTGTGGTAATGTATGGTGAAACAACCCTCATAGCCAACAAGGTTTGGGGAGGCCTTCATCCAGCAGTGGATTTACAAAGGACAATGAATAGATAAAGGTTCCTTATGTGCATGTGTGCTTGTTTATGTGCGCTCTTACTTGGCTGTGGTTAGCGGTGGCACAGTGGTTAGCGCATTTCACTACTCACCTGGTGATTCGAGTTCGATTGCCGCTCACGACCAACGCCAGTGACGATTTTCTGAACCGGTCCTGTGCCTCCCCTAGGTCGACTCAGCCTCAGATTAGTACCTGGCACGGTGTGTAAATATCGCCACCAAGGGAAACAAAGGCGGTCAGGCGTAGTGCTTGCCACCTACCCCCTCGTGTACCGTCCCAGCCTGCATAGATGCTTGCTAACAGTACTTTCCCTAAAAGTATGTTTTGGCTATACGGTGGGTCTTTGTCTTGTCTTTGTCTTACTTGGCTTTCCTGTGACAGCTGTGACACTGGAGTGAAGGAGGGAGATCTCTTCATGTCCTTTAAGAGCATGTTCCAAGACGTGAGGGATGCAGTGGACTGGGTCCACATCATGGTAATACACTCAGGTCCCATACATTTGACCAAACAGGAGGTGCGTAAGTTGGTATTGTCCATTTCCTTGACCCGAAGTGTTGTGATGTGTCAATGGGTAAATGGGCTGGCACAGCACTGCGCTGTGAATTTGGCACGGGGTTAAGAAGGGCAGCCATCGTGACGTCAATCTGTACACTGTAGGCACGCGGCATCACTGCATCATCCACTGTGCATATCAACCCTTCATTGTGTGTGACGTCAGCAGCGCAGCTTGGCTTTTGCGGTGCAAAAAAACCCAACGTGATGGCTCCTGAGCCGTGCTGGTCTGGCATGTCAATGGCCCGGGCGCGGCTCGGCCATTCAGTGCAAACAAGAGGGACACCGAGCTATGAAACTGTGAGGTATGGCAGCTGGAGGCCACAGTTGGCTGCCTTTCAAGGTCACAAACACGCCAAAGGTTTTTCTGGCAGCCCGTCAGCATTAGGAGGGGAGGGAGGCAGAGGGAGAGAGTTTCAGCCCCCTTTATGAATTAACACGGTTAAGTCAAAAAATTGTTGGCATATTTACCGCCAGTCGCAGTTTTTTCTTTAAAATTTGAGGTTCAGCATACCCTTAACTATTAAAACGGGCCCATGTGCGTTATAGATATACAGCTAGAACGTAATGCATAAAATAAGGTAATATAATTACTCTATTTTGTTTGTTATTATTGTTCGTTTAAAGTTCGTTTGACATTCACTCTGTGGTTGCCCCTCCCCTTGAATTTCCATATGGTTCACCTTTAAACAAGGGTTGTATTCCAGTTTGCACTGATACTATGTAACAACAACAACAAAAATATGCACGAGTATGGTGCAGGTTTAATGCATTAAAAGTGTATTTATGGTGGCCATGATCATTAAGATGCATTCACAGAGGCGTGTAACCCTCAGGATATTTATTTTTAACTGATTAAATTATGTATTAAAATGTTCAGCCTGGTCACAGATAATATTGACCTGCAGTGACAGATTATCTTGGGAAACTTTCTTACAGCAGGGAAATATATAAAACATTTCAGGTCAAGCACACATTTCCTGCGGAGCAAATGCGTGCTTGACATTCACACAGTTTAAAGCATTTAATTAATTATTTAAACCCCAATTTTCCGTGCGGTTATATTTTCTCTGTGGTGCTAACTGCACTTCATATCCGATGCTATTGTGCAGATAATAAGACAATTACAGACAAGAATACAATCTCTTTTAAGAATAAATCTTGACTTAAAGCTTTCGTGACTGCAGGAATTCATATTCTTTAGGTCTTTCGGTAAAGTCACGTCGTAGTTTTTTGTTATTAATTTGTTTTGTTCTACGTGACTTTACCGAAAGACCCAAAGAACATATATAAAGAATACTTTCCTGGATTTTCTGAATTCTCCACTAGGGGGCGAGAACAGGTTATTCGACCACTGGTCTGAACCCTACCCACCCCTCTCCCCAATGCCTCCAAATTTAAATAATTTATTCTGGGTTTTGTTTGCATTGTGGCCAATGGGAGCGCCTCCAGTGATTGCGGGTGGTGTTCACCCATCAGATAAACATATATGAATACAAAAGTAATGTAATTCTTGTACACGAGATTCAATGCATGTAACATTTCTCGCAAAATGCTTAATTGGGAAAACAGCTACCCCTACTGCGAAAACCGAATCTCCTGACAAAGTCTTGAAACTGAATTCGGCTTTCCTTGGTAAACAAGTATCATCATAAATCCCTGCATTTGCATGTATTGTTTAATTAGCTGTGTTTGCTCGGCATGCAATGATTTATCTGCCGAGCGAAATAATTTTTCGTTTTTCAGGGTCACAATATCGATTCAAGAATAAATTCTTTACATCTCAAATGTAATCTAGTGTTTGTATTGTTGCTCGTTTTATCGTCTCATTTGTACAGTTAAATCCATTATAATGTATATTAAACACATGAAAATCATTTGCATATGATACAAACCATGCATTCTTACCTTGAAGATTTCATGTCTATACTCAAAAAATGAATTTTTTTGTACGTGCGAGATGCGTTATGTCGTAATAGTTATCAACATTTCCGACAGTTTAATCGTTGCAAATCATAAACGTGATCATTTTACATTGTCACAGTCAATACTAAATTTGATTCTTGGTCTAATATACCAATATTTTAACTTTACTTCATTGACTGATTAAAATGTGTAAGCTGTTCTTTTATAAAAATCGGTGTTAACACAGGTGTGGCTTTTATTCAACAGGGGACACTGAAAGAAAAAACACTTGAAAATGTGGAAAAGTACGTGGCGAAAGAGGTAAGACGATTTACTCACACTTTTAGAAAAGCACAAGTAAAGATATTAATAGCAATGCACTTAACGTCACTTAATGCCAAGCTAGTTGTAATTACTGGCGAAACGTCGTGCTCAAGATTGTAAATGTTGTGGCCTTGCTCGCCAACACACGCTGTGCTGTACTAGTAACGAATTGGCATGTTCTGTTTACGTGACACACCTTTTTAATTGGCTGTGTCGTGTGGTGGCGGGTTTAACGACATATTTACGCGATCTAACCCAAAAAATACCTGTATTGTCATGTCTATATTGGATAATTCCCTATGGCATTCTGTGGTATGTGGTTAAAGATCATATGACTTCAATTTTCCAGGTCAGTGGCACGCATCTCTCTGCTATCAAGAAGGTCCATTGCTAAAATGTCACGTTTTATTTTATGGATTTATTAATTAGTTTAACACGTAGGCTTTCGCGACCAATATTATTCATAATAACGGTTTTTGGGTTAGATCGCGTTTATTTATAAATGTGTCGTAACCCTCCACCACCCGACACGGCCAATCAGCAAAAAAAGTGCCACGTTGACAAAAGACAAATAATTCACTACTTTAGCCCACCAGTGTGTTGAAGAGTGAATCCACATTTACAGTTTGAGTACGACGTTTCGCTGGTAAATACTTCCAGCATCATCGGGCAATTCGCCAGAATGGTAAAGCCCTCGCTTGCTCCCGGTTTTATATGGAAGTATTTACCAGCGAAACGTCGTACTCGAACTGTAAATGTGGATACACTCTTCAACACACCGGTGGGCGAAAGTAGTGAATTATTTGTCTTTTGTCAACGTGACACTTTTTTTGCTGATTGGCCGTGTCGGGTGGTGGAGGGTTACGACACATCTATAAATAAACGCGATCTAACCCAAAAACCGTTATTATGGATTTATTATTGATGAACGAAGCAATAAGTAGTCCATTACGAACGTTTTACGTGAAAATTGCTTCAAAACTTGCCCCACATGATTTTGACTTCGCTATGTCGGAATGAATGGACCAATTGCCTCGCGATGTGATCGCGACAGCTCTCGCCGACCTATCTATTATTTCACTGTTGCTGGAAGAGGGATTTTGGTTGGGAATCTTTGCCCCACCACCAGCCCCACCTCCCACCACCTCCTACAGAGGACGCAACCACCGCCAGTCCCCCTCCATAACTCAAATCAGCCGAGGAGGGAAGGGGCGGAGCCTAAAGAGAAAGAGGCGGGGCCTAGAGGAGAAGGGGTGGGGTCTATAGAGGTTCAACTTCCCTGTTGATTTTTATTTTAATTTCAGATGTTCACACATCAGATAAATGAATATGAATACAAAATTACGTAATTCTTGTACACGAGTTTCAATGCATTTGCAGTGACATTGAATGAGTCACTGTAGCGCGTGCCACTGGGAGATTGGTCGATAATAGAATTAGGGGTAACAGCCCATTCTACCAGTTGGACCTGTGGGCAAGGCATGGAGCCCTCTGGGGGATCCAGAGGAGTGCGGGGCCGAGGGCGGTGCCTGGCCACGCCGTTCAGGATAAAAGGCGAGCTCCGACTCACAGTCGGGGCGGCTGCGTTCTGGAGTGGAACGCGTCGTGTCGTCGTCATTATGATATTCGCCCTCTTTGTGATATTCGCCCTCTTTGTGATATTCGCCCTCTTTGTGATATTCGCCCTCTTTGTGATATTCGCCCTCTTCGAGCTATGGGTCTGGCAGTATGTTGGCTGTCCCGACCCAATATGTAGTTATCCCCTAAGGCTGTGAAGGCTGTAATAAAAGAGAGAGAGTACCTCCTACTCGTGTCTGTGAATTAGCACACTACACATTTAAAATTAATCACAAAATGCTTCATTAGGAAAACAGCCATCCCCTACCGCAGCACATACATTTAGTGCTACAAATGTGGCCACAGGCTAATTAGCCATATCGTGATATCTATTGCTTCTCTCAGCCATTACATGTTGCCATTGCAGAGATATATCTGTTAATCCCTGAATATTATGTAATATTGCTGTTTGAGCACAATTAATTGTTCGTGGACAGCAGTGATGAATTGCACTTGGTTGTGTGACTCAGCAGGCCAAGGGTCCCACCAATTGATGCATCGTTATCCCTCCTGGTATTTAATGCACCCAAGTATTAAGTTTAACACTCGGATGACCTCGGGGGGAGGCGGGGGGAGGCCTTTATTGAGTACAGAGGTAATAAACCATTGATTACAGGCCCTTCCCTGGTAAAGGGCGAGAACAATTCAAGATAGTCAAATTGTGTTCTTTCAGACTATTTGTAGCAACAAAGTACATCAAAATACAATTAAAAAATTAAGTACTCTCGTGTATGCAAGAGCACGGGGGTTTGTAAATAAATCAATTAATACTGGTAGGAACCTCCTGCTTACACCAGCCCACAGGGGATTATTGTGTCCGTCCGTCGTGCATCCAAAAATGGGAGGGGTGGGGCTGGGTGGAAAGGGGAGGGTGGGGAGGGGCTGGGTGGGGGTGGGAGGGGTAGGAGGGGTGGGGCTGGGTGGGGAGGGGCTGGTCACCCCGTGGTGCCCTTATAAAACTCAACGTTTAACCTACTCACGCCGGCTTGTGCCCGCCCTCACAGTCGGGCATATTGTGCGGAATACACCACGTGGTGCCGCCGTTGACCCTGGCCACTGACCGAGCAACCCAACGTTCCTACCAGCTCCCTCTGCAGGAGAATGTGTTTACTATTATATTTTTTACACATTCGCGTAAAACAACGTGGTGGGGGCAACATGTTCCTGCTGAGGGCCCCGATTGAGCGAGCATCATCCCTGAGTGCAACACTATTTAAATGCAGCGTGCATCTTCATACCTGTCCATCTCTTATCAGTGCCCTACCTTATGACAGACCGATTCAGACCTTATTGATCACCCCGTGCCCCTTATATATCTCAACGTTCATCCTACAAAGTCCCATCACAAGAGAGAAACACAAACAAATATATGTTTTTACCCGTATTGAAACAGCTGTACGCTCTATGGACCTGAAAACTAAATTTCCCTGTACAAGAATACGGGTAAACCGTATGGGTTGACAGGTATGTATCCTGTATTTAACACAGAGATGTATATGGTCACTGTTATAAAACAATACAATAGAAATATTAACTTTATTCAAAGTGCATTATGATTTGGCATGATGATATGTCAAAAAAACTACAGCATAACAAAATAAAAACATGTTCGTAAAACATCTTTCGCATTTAATATTTTTCAGCCAAAACTGCCACTTCTTTTGAGTAGGATGCAAGAGGTGGCGAAGGTCTTCCTGGCAACAAACAGTGACTATAATTACACTGACGTAAGTTAACAGCAAATAACACTGCACGGAGTTAGTATTCTGCACTTGTTACGTAACTTCCATTCTGGAATCCCATCATGCAAATCTGGTCTTGGACTCTGTTCACTGACTTCCCATTAATTTTAGAGCGGAGTTTACGATTCTTCTGACATATAATACTCTCCAAAGTGGATAAACAGATTTTCTCGCAGATTTACTGACCCCATATGTGTGACTCTCTGTGTTGTATTGCATTATATTTCTAAGTTTACTAGGTTTGTTTTCTCTTTCATTTGTACCTGATGATGATTGCTTGTGTTGCAATAGAAACGTTGTATGATTTTATTTAGTTTATTTATTTATATTTTCTACGTGACTTTACCGAAAGAACCAAAGATTAAGTGTTAAGATCTTAAAACACCAAACTGAAACCTTTTACAAGGAATCATGTCTGCATGAACCACAATGCTTGTGGTCAGAATGCAAACAAAAAACATACTCTGATAATATATGCATTGTCCTTGAAACTGATTGGTCCACACCAGAGACAGCTTTCTTTTGAGCCTCGTCTCAAAACGGTGTTAGACCAGAGGACACCAAAAGGCGTCCTCTGGCCTAACAGTGCCTTGAGTACCTTACAGAAAAGCGCTTTATAAATAGAATTTAATATTATTGGAAATGGCTAATATCAGTGGTGAGGGATATCTGAATTGGCGCTTGACTCCACCTTCAGCAAACGGCAGTGACCAGTATGGTGAAGTATGACAAAACAACTGGTCATACTGCCATGACAGTAGATTTGGCAAATGGCTTTACATTATTATTACATGTAAAACACTCGCACAAACAAGTACAGTATACTATAATGCTCTGCAGATTTGATTCTAACCAGGACAAAAATAATGGTAATTCAGGAATTGTGCCTTTTGTCAAATTGAGCTAAAAAAAGCATGGGTTAATCTTAAAAAAATGTTCTGTGTGGCTGACTAGAGTGATTTTTTTAGAGATGTAGTCAAGAACACGGTGGAGTGTTTGCTAATGCATCTTTGTTTAATGTATTACAAAACCAGATCAAAGCTGAGAATGAATCTTGAGATTTATTTCTTGAAAATAATCATCATTCCTGAGGTTTACTCCTTTTCCCCTGTGACTTTTGCATGGGACTCATATGAGGTCAATGGTGCAATTTGGACTTAAGCATTTTCTTTCACAATGATGATTGCATGATTACCACCAATCAATCACACTGGCCGATACGACACAGCAAACTTGTGCAAGTCGGATATATACTAAGCTCGAAGTGTTGCAACGTTGTGTGGTAAACATTGGTGGGGTAAGGTTGACAAATCGTTTCATTGGACTTGCATTGATTAGGGGCATTTTCCTGTGACATTCGCAGGGATTATGTTTGATTTGAAATGATATAATCATATGAACAATATCATTTTACAAATATGTATATACTTATAACATCATTGTGAATGTAAATCTTTAAATAGTGGACAATACCTGTATGAAATTGTGTTCAAAGTTCATGATTAAAAAAAAACATCAACATTCATCAGAATTGCCAGTATAAGGAGTACATGGTGGTCAGCCAACATATGTCTAAATGATTGCTTCTCACTCGGCAATGCTTTATTTTGGTCTCCTGGTACATTACAGAACTCATGTCCATACTGTATATCAATGAAAATGCATCGTGTTGTAAAAGATGTCATCATTTGCATTTGTTTTTTTACAGAAAATTATGACATACTTATTTGACTTGCCGCATGGCCCACAGGTAAGAGGCTAATTTCCAACATTGAAACCGATAATTCAGATAAGTGTTTTTTTATAGTTGCCATGTTACTGATTCAATCGCATTTTATTTTATGAATACAAAACGAAAAAGAAAAAAAGTCAAATTGATGGTGTTTAAATAATTTGTTTCAGGTTGCAGGCATTGCAATACTTTTAAAATTATGAACACACACTGATGGCTTGACTAAAAATACATACAGTAGTTCTATCTTTGTGCATCTGAAGATATTGAACATTTTATCAAATGTATTTAACATACTTTATTATTTTGCCTCATTCTGTAAACTGCTGCCTTTGGTAGAAGGGACAGCACGAAGATTAGTTTCATTGTATCTTACATCTACAAACTATTTTTCTATTTTCCTTCCCTTTCCATTATAGTGCATGCCAATGAGAAGTGGCACGTAGATATTGTACAGTAGTTTTCATTCCTGTACTTTCTTAAAAAGAAAACGGATATATAATAGAAACAGCTCTTCCACTTGTGGTTAATCTCCCCAATGGTTCCTTTCGACCCCTTCCTGAACTGCTTTAGTTGCAGTTCGAGGAGGGGAGGTCAATCGCCAATTGCTGTTTTGCTATTTTCGCCGTGTCACGACCCCAGCCGGGGCGCCAGCACCGGCCATGGCAGTCGTACTTTGACCTCATCATCGTGGATGCCCGCAAGCCACTCTTCTTTGGCGAGGGAACTGTGCTTCGACAGGTGGACACGGTGCGACATCTCCACCGCACGCGGAATCTCACCTCTTGAGCTTTCATCTTTGAGTGCACATTTCTCTCAGTTACTGTCACAAGGCCAAAGCCGTTTGGTGTGCAGTAACAACAAAAAAAAAAAACCCTTATTTTGTTGCCATAATCTTTGTCGTTGTCATCGTCAGTCGTGCTCACTCCACTACGGAATGAACGCCTCAAATCACCAAAGCCTCTCAATATTTTGCCATGTAATAATTCACCCAGAACCTGTACACAAACCAATTTCATTTCTACATCTCCTCGACGGACGTTCTCTGAGTTGCGTTTCATCCTTGGCCGCCGCTCCGTTTTTATTAACAACCATCGGCCATCGTCCCTTCGAGCGACGTGTCCTCCCCAAGCCCACTTACTTTTCTTCTAGTTTAAATGATGTTATTAACATGCATATGATCTCCAATCCATGTGTTTCTTTTTCTGTCTCTCAATGCAATTCCAAGAATGCATCTCTCAATGCTTATTTGTGCACTTTTAAGGTGTTTCCGTATATTTTCCATGAATGACCATACTTTAGACCATACGTCATCGTAGGAAGCACACAATTATATAATGATAACCATTGTACAAGTCTTTTTTATTGTTTTATTGTTTTATATTTGTATTATTTTATTGTTTCCCATCTACGTGACCTCACCGAAAGAACCAAGATTATAAGTCTTTTTTGTGAAGCACAATAATGAGTCATGATAGTAAGCATCTTTAAAATAAAAAAAAATACTTGCATCTAGTATGCTGTCATTTGTTCACTTCCTTGGTTTGTTTATATTTGTAAACATGCTTTGTCTGGAAGGTCTCAGTGTAAAAATGCAATCCACATTAAGCTTGGTCACCCCACAACAAATTCTGCCATCTTTCATTGCAACCTACAGCATTGATTTATTTCTTGAAGTACGTAAATGTTTCACCTCCATTCCCTGAAAATGTATTGCTGACACATTCGATATTATTGATATCGTTTGTAAATATGGCAAAAGTACAATGCATTGGTCGTAAATAAATCCATACATTCGATAGAAGTAATATCTATAAATGTAGTAATATAGCTTGAGCGTTTTGCGGGTAAGCATTATTTTTTTATTTAAAGGAAACTGGGCAACTGAAAATTGGAACTTTTACAGGACCTCTGCAACATGGGATCGTATATTCTGGAGGTGAGAATGCTTATTTCATCTGCCCCTTTACATTTGTGTTTTTATATGAAGTACTTTGATTTCACTTCAATCACATACAAGTGAGGGCCATTGTAAAGCCATACTATTTGTTGTAATGTGAAACCTAAATACTTGTGACGTCATTAATAGGAACATTATATTGTGTGAGGGTACCATAAGCCAAAGCCCGGGCCTAGACATTTCCAAAAATTGTTCTGTATTACTGGATCAGGTGGTGCTCTTTTCTTAGTATTGCATTGTCCTACCACCAATTGTGTTTAACGCTGACGAGGTGTATTTTGCAGCAATAAAAGCAGAATGATGAAGCTAATCACGTATAGCAACTGAAACTCTATCACCAGAGCGTACACGCAATACACAATGAGTATCTGGAAAAAAACCTTGAACCTGGTGGATGAGTAACCTGATTTTATGATTTCTGTGTAAAATATATAATCATTGCATGACATCAATGTGCGTACACTATTTGCATTTTTTTTGCATGCCTTTTAACTTTGCCAGTGGTTGATTTCTCAAGTCTTTCACCAACGTTAGGCATTGAGATACATTTCTTGTGCACAAATGTGTGCAATTTTGTATATTATAATCGTGCCATAAAAATAGCAAGCTGCTGTTTCAGCTAACAGATAACAGACCTGTCATCCAATGCAAAGGATTGTGAATAACACTGATGGGGCCTTGTTCAGATCATTAAAGGATCTTAAACTACCAAACTTGCTTGCTGAGAGTCCAGTAAGTGGTCTGATTAATCCATCTGTGTGAACCTTTGAGTGTTAAAACATACGTTTACTTCAGCTACACTGGTTTTAATGTTGTTCCCAAAATGTAAAATACTATTTAAAAAGGAACTGAGCAAACGTTTTAAAGCAGGACTCGCCTCAAAAGGATTTGAGACTCGGTGATGCTTTCCTGGACATATACAATACATGAAACAAAATTACGTTAAAATGTCAAAGACGAGGTGTGGAAACCAGACGGGTTTGGAACCTATTTCTTTGTGACCCCTTCTGGATATGATGCAGGGTCATCAGACTTGGTGTGCGATCTCCTGGGCGTCAATGGGAAGGACATTCTCTACATTGGTGACCACATCTTTGGAGACATTCTCAAGTCCAAGAAACGACAGGGTTGGCGGACTTTCCTGGTCATTCCTGAACTTGCCCTGGAGCTTCACGTCTGGACAGATAAGAGCGGTCTGCTGCTTTTTACGCTATACTCGATATTGAGCATCTAACAACTTAATCGTTAGAGCAATGCCATGGATATTCACAATTTGAGGCTGTGATTCCATTTAAGAATTATTTTTTTTACTTTCTCATTGGCATGAGATGAAGCATTCGTTCGTAATTATTGCAGATAAATGCATCACTCTGTGTTAGACAACAGCCGAAGAACAAGATGTCACAGAATTACTTCTGAAGTATTTTCAAGTGATCTCAACTGCAGAGAACTGTTCATTGCATGGCAGCTAAACTGAAATGTTTAATTCACAGAACTGAAATGTAGCAAAATTAAGTGGAAACCCTTCAATAGTGTGATCTTTTTTTAAATAGCAGTTCATTTGTTACTGGGCTGGGAATAATTACTCGCTACACGTGATGAACATGTTTAATCACAAGTGGCTGAAACCCAGATTCAAACACGGGTTCTCAGTGGTGCTAACTCAATGCTCTAACCCTTCAGCTAACCAGCCCCTACTTTTACAATAAATCTTTGCACATTTCACGTTGGGTGAATTTTTTTTTGAAATAAGCTTACCTTAAGGAGGGGGGGCATCTGTGGAATGCCACGGGAGTCTACGTGACACGAGAGGCCGTTTGAGTGTTTGAGTACTATCACTGTTTGTTGTTTCACTCCTGCCTCATAGCGCTGTTTGAGGAATTGCAGAGATTGGACATATACTTGGCCGATTTGTACAAGTAAGTTCAAAAAGTAATCTTACACACTTTCACCACCTTCGCTGTGCATAACTCTGCATACAATTGTTAGTTTTGGTCACGTACAATTACTGATTAAAATGTATATATATATTTTACACATGTATTATATAGATCTAACAATATTCTGGTGTTTGTCACAATATAACTTTTGTTCACAACTCCTATTATCCACGGAAGTTGTAGGATCCACTTAAAGTCCCACTATACGCAACCCTATTTCTGTTATCCCTGGTTGTGGAACGGCTTCCTATTATCTGCTAGCTTTCACAGAAAAGAGAGATGCATCAGCAACTTCATCCTGTTCACAATTATCTGAAATTCCTTTCCTCCAGAAAAGTGGAGTAAACGTACGGATAACGTCGCAGAAAATAGTGTGTGTTGCTCACATCACTTCAGATGAGAGGAGCTCAACTTGCTTGTTTACATGTTTATATGTAGAAAAATGCCCACTTGTCAGGCTCCCCACTCCCTTCTTTCACGTGCTGCCTTTTTATTCTCTGCTCGTAATCACAGGAATCTTGACAGCAGCAGCAATGAAAGGCCCGACATCAGCTCTCTGCAGAAGTGCATCAAGGTTGGTTGTAGGTGTTTTTTTACTTCTCCTCCTCCTCCTCCTTATTCTTCTTCTTCACATGACGTGGGGATCTTTAAAGCAAGGGATGACGATAGGATTGTAGATGTTGGTCTCGGCCTGCTGATTATACACGCTGACATGGTGTAATGGTTAGCACACTCGATTGGATTCACAGGTTGCTAGTTCGATCGCCAAATGCGGCAGTTGAAAGAATCGGCGAGTTTCTTAAATCGCCTTCCTCCCCGCGACCCCCACCGCCGCCACCTCTGTCTGCGGAGCAGTGTGACATGGGTTCAGCAGAGTCGATGGGCGAGTCGAGTGTGGTGGGGTGAAGTGTGCGTGGGTACTCCAGATGTCTGGCACAGCTTGGACGAGTAGGCCAAACACCCTTTGAGAAGGATCTATCTCTCAAGAGTTCACTTGAGTGGAAGCCCTTCTGCCGATGGTGACGTGAGCATGCAATTGCAGGCCTCCACCTTTACTCTCACTCATTAAATAGCTAGCAACATTTCGTATTCTATTATTAATTGTACATCAGTTCTTTCAGTTGACAGTTGTGTCTCCTTGTGATCCTCCGTAATGCACGCAAACTGTTGTTATGTTTCATTATTTATAGGGACAGTGAGTATTTTGCAAATACGGTCAATGTTGTTCCGTGTGAATCTTCTCACACCTTTCATCCCCCATGGGCCGGCCGGCTTATAAGAATATAATTAATGATTATTGACGGAGTGTACGTCATGTGAGCAAGGCCCAAACCCTTTGCATCGTCCCAATGGCCCCTTCCTCTTCTCTCTCCAGAAAGTGACACATGACATGGACATGTGCTACGGCATGATGGGCAGCCTTTTCCGAAGTGGGTCCAGGCAGACGCTTTTCGCGAGCCAAGTGATGCGCTACGCTGACATCTACGCTGCATCCTGCATCAACATGCTGCACTACCCATTCAGCTACCTCTTCCGTGCCCCACACGTGCTGGTGAGTTCGCTCGTTCGCACAACACCTGCTCAGCACTCCTAGGTCTTGGTTGTGCTCTTTGGGTGATCGGGCTTTTGTTAGCGTGGCACCAAAACTATGGAACGCCTTTCCACTGGAAATCAGGCAATCCGAGTCGGTAGATGTATTTAAGTCTGCTTTTAAAACCCATCTCTTTAAAGTGGCCTTCCCTCTTTAGTTTGGTCGGTTTCCCTGGTTTCTGTTTTTGTTTCCTGCTTTTCATGCATTGCGCATTGGGATCCTAGGATGGAATACACATTGCACATTTTAATTCTTATTATTGTTACAAAAGCGAGCACAGCAAACTGGACACCTTTTTAAATTTATTTTCAGTAGTTTATAATTATGATCCAAATAAATGAATTAATTACATATACTCACAATTCCTGTGAGAGGCAAAGCGAACCCCTGCTCCCCCCTCCCAAATATAGAAGTCAAACTCCGCCTATGACTGGCTGCCGTGTCTTGTTTATCCCTACGCCACTGCTTCAAGATGATTTATTAACGTGCCAACTTATGATGTCACGTGTGTGATTGGTGATGCCGGTGTGATTTCAAATTCCAGACTGCAGCAGTCTCAAGACGAAACAAATAAAATGTATATTGTACCGCCACTAAAATGTCACTGGAACATTTGTTACACAATTTGTATACTTGAGCCTGGTTGTTGATTATTCTCGTTTTATATACTCTTTGGTCCTATTCGGTAAAGTCACGCAGGTAAAAAATAAAACAACAAAAATCACGACGTTTCGACCACAACACAAGTGGCCTTCGTCAGGTGAAGGGACCAGGCTGTCTCGAAGACTGCGCTGGAGTGAAGTCTTCGAGACAGTCTGGTCCCTTCACCTGATGAAGGCCGCTTGTGTTGTGGCCGAAACGTTGTGATTTTTGTTGTTTTACTTTTTACCTACGTGACTTTACCGAATAGAACCAAAGAGAATGGATCCTTGCAGTCACGAAAGCTTCAAATCTAGAATCTCGTTATATAATTAATCGCTTGACTGCAATGCACGTGGTATAACTCAACTCATACGCATGCACTCAACAGTTGGTAGGATTCCAAGACCACTATCTATCATATGAACCGGCATTGCCAATATTTTTCATGCATACAGCGTACGTGAGTTGTAACACAGATGTGGGAAGACGCGCACAAGGAATTTACTGCTGACGACTAAAGTGGCTTTCAAAATGCACATTATAGGTTCCCAGTGCGAGGTAAATCTGTATAAATCAAGGCTTCATCATCATGATCATCATCTAATTGCAGTACTAATAACTGGCCGCAGGCTTTGGAAGCTTTATTATGGATTTAGTGTTATGCTCTTTTCAAAAAAGTGTCTGAAAGGACTAGTTGTTGAAGATTGGGCGTCATATTTGAATGCGGCACTTTTTACAACCTCCAGATGCAGACTTCATCTCACAGTCACTATTGATCACAAATTCACCACAGCGCTCCTGTATTTTATTTTATTGCTCATCATTTGGCTTCTGGGTACATTACCCCTCTCTTCCTGGAGGTTGAGGCTTTGTAAGTGCCCATTTTGATCCTTTTGTTTTGAAATTTATGTTTTAATCTATATATGTATAAAGACGACTTGGACACACTTGCCTTGAGATGTTTTCTTTATTAAGCAGCCACGTGCTCACACTCGGACAGGCGGAGACCCCACTGCAACTCCCTCGCATCTCCCTTATATACGGTCCGAGGCCACGCCCTCATTCCCGAACCTTCTCGCTGGTTCGAGACCGCTCACTGTACCAGCAGATTCTACTGTCCTCCTCCGTCCTCTGGCCACACTCCTATTCTCGATCATTCCCGTAGCCACCAGTCTACTCGCACTGCAAGCCGACTCCCCTGGCATTACCTCCCGTGGCCACTAGTCCACTCACACCGGAGGTTGACTCTACTGTTTTTACATATTTTTAGTTTATTCCTGAGCAGGTTAGGTAAATATTTGTAATTTATCGGCAAGTCCCAGCTTTGTTTATTGGGCCACTGTTATCTAACCTTTCCTCCCTACCTACAGTATCCACCTTTTCCTGCCTTTAACTGTCTGCGATTACTGCCATTCATCTCTGCATACATCACTGTGTTATGCTGATAGTTTTAATCTTCAATGTTTCCTTTTTTATAGCTTTGTTCTGCAGGTGAGGCCTGCGTATTGTATGTCCAGGCGGGTCGACCTGTTTACTCACTCAACGTTGCTCTTCTTCCCCGTCTATCCACCTTTCACTTAAACAGTTTCTGTTATTCCTATTTTTTGTATAATGACTGTGATTGTTGATTGTTTCATTCTGCCTTATTTATCTTGTGTATGTATTTCGTATTTTCGCTCTCTTTACTTTCACCTGTATATATAAATAAAACGTCTTAATTTGACTTGTGTTCATCATTTGTTGGGGAGCAGTGTGTGTGTGTGTACACTGTGTTTAACACGTAGGCTTTCGCAACCAATATAATTCATAATAGAGGTTTTTTGGGTTAGATCGCGTAAATGTGGTGTGCAAACATCGTGCTTTGTCTACTACTTTATTTTCAGGCTGCTTATGTTTTACGCATATTCTTTTGGCTGGTCCATTTGTTGAGTCTCTTTAATTACATCCACGCTGACCTGCACACCCACAGAGCTTTTTCCTCTTCACAGGTGTGAGTTTACTTAAGGCAGGTGAAACTGTTCATCCACAACAGCTAGGCCACTTGCCATCACTTTAATCTGTCAAGTTTGTGATGTTTAAACCAACCAAGATTGGCAACAAGTCTACTGGCAGAGTCATTGTTATTGAGGAAGGATGTTTTTCAACCTGCCTGCAGCATTTCACTGCAGTTCATGGGAACTTCTTCAGCAACTGATTCAAGTTGGAAGCTGAATCACTAGGGAGCTACTTCAGCAACTGATTCAAGAAGCTGCCAGAATATCGAGCGAAATGTCAGACAACACGTGGTACAACTTGAAACAAATATCACATAGCTGTACAGCCCAACTGTCAATACCCACGAAGGAGTAACGTGAATGTTCGTATCCTGAAATGTGCACAGATGCCTCACGAGTCAACCGTCGAGCATGCTCGGGTTGACGCCGCCAGCCAGCAGTCACCCATGTCGACACGAAATCGACCGCTCGGTGCCACAGAGGACTGGGCCCTGCTGGGCTCACCATCGGGCTCCGGGGCCGGGGGCTGGGACGCCAACGATGGCAGCACAGCCAGCGGCACGGCGAGCAGCGGCCACGCGGGCGGTCGCCGCAAGTGCTCCAGCCGCTCGATGAGCGAAATCCGACCACCCTGCCTCCACCCGCAGCCGCCGGCCGAGATCACGCACTGCCACGATGAGGACGACGACGACGATGACAACGATGGTGATGGTCATGATGGTGGGGAGGTTGGCGAGAGTCACGCCTCTCGACGTTTCCAGCAGCAGTAGCTATCCTACAGGTTGCCTGGCTTACACATGTACAGCCATTTTGTCGGCATGAGCGTCCCTCCGCGTGCCGTGTGGGTTGGTGAAAGTGGGAGGCGTAGACGTGGGAGAATGTACGTAAATTACAAGAGTAGGTTTTTCTGTATTGCCAGCAGGGCCTTGCCTCAGCCTACCTGACTTGCGTGGCAGTCACCAATCCAAGCTCTATCCAGGTTCAAACCCACTCTGCTTTGGAGATCTGATGACATCGAGCGTATTCCGGTTAATTTGGTTTAAGGTCAGTCTTCACGTCAGCCATGGCTTATTTTTGTTTCACCTTCAAGTCCGTCTGCTATTTGTTTTATTTTATATGAATTTACCAGTCTTAATTTCACAACTTGTCCTTTTTCACAAGCAATACTCAGGAGTTTTGGATGCCACTGGTGGGAAACAAGGAAAACCTCTTACACATGTGTCTATGTGGCCTATACCATGATTCTATAGCCACTAAAAAGCAGGCCAGCTCAGCTCATGAACAGGGCTGAATTGCCATGGTAGCAAGCCGGGACAGCTCCGAATTCAGAGGGCAGCGTAGCTCGCTTTGCTAAGGGAGCTACATGTATTCTGCTGGGCCTCTCGAAGAAATTATCATGACATCATTGGCTAAACACAAAAATCGAACATGCCATCAATTGCATCTCTTGCTTTTATCAACTTTAAAGCTGCATTTTTTTAATGAAGAATGTCGACGAAGACAATGGATGGTGTAAAATGACAACATGTAATGATTTTAGCGTGGGGAAAGTATAAGCTAAGCATATGGTAAACCTATAATCATATACATTAAAACACAATTATGATCACTTCCCTCCAGATGCAGAGGGAAGGGATGAGGAGAGGACGAGGGGGGAAAGGAGATAAGTCAAACCAGTGGAGCCGCGTGATCGTGAAGCTTTGTGCATTTCCAGGAACAGCTCTGCATGGCTCGGATTTTATTCCCTACGGCCGTGCAAACGCAACGTTAGAGTCACCGCAGGTGAAACTATTCTCACTTCTGAGTTGGGAATTTAGACTCATGTTCCCTTCACCATGGTGGTGGCTGTCAAGATAAAACTTTATAAGATTAGTGTTTTTTTCAATTGCTGTCACCATGGGCCATATAATATGTTCATTATCTTTGTTTTTATAATCATCGTTACGACCTATCATTTGATGATAAGTAAAACGAATGTTGGCAACAATTATGCTTTGAAAGCAGTTATGTAGTGAGTTCAGCTGAGTCGCAGATGTACTCTTGGAGACAACACATTTATTTAACACCAACACATGGGGTAACTGCACCCTTAACAGAATAATAACCTATGGTCGTGACCACCAGGCTAACTACACTAATTACAACATTACTGGTGTAGTTAACCGGGTGGTGACCACCAGGCTAACTACACTAATTACAACGTAACTAGCTACAACGGACCGGACCACAGCTCGGGTCCAGGTCCACATGCTGGAGACTCGTAGAACATAGACGGAGGCTTCTTTAAGATGAACAACAACGCCGGTCCCTCTGGGGGACCCGGCTTGTATTCTCTGCGGCTTGGCTGGCTCCGCCCTTGGCCACGACCACTTTCCAGAATCCTCGAGCAGGATCTCGACCCGGACTACGTGACCACCCCTAGCCCCCACTTGGGGCCCCTTTGTAGACTTAATCGGTCACGTGTCCTCCCGGGTCAACCAGAGTGCCATGGCCTTTAGTAACCCTGGCACTCCCACATCCGATCCTGCAGGGCTGGCACTGCACGGCAAGCGTGGTGCCACCCAGCGCTATCAATCAGCGCACGCCGTGCCCCTCTAAGGCCGGCACTACACCCACACCATAGTGGTGTCCGTGTTGTCGTTACATCGCATGCCGTGCCTCTCTAGGGCCGGTACTACACCCACACCATAGTGGTGTCTGTGATGTCGCTACACCGCATGCTGTGCCCCTCTAAGGCCGGTACTACACCCACACCATAGTGGTGTCTGTGATGTCGCTACACCGCATGCTGTGCCCCTCTAAGGCCGGTACTACACCCACACCATAGTGGTGTCTGTGATGTCGCTACACCGCATGCTGTGCCCCTCTAAGGCCGGTGCTACACCCACACCATAGTGGTGTCTGTGATGTCGTTACATCGCACGCCGTGCCCCTCTAGAGACGGTACTACACCCACATCATAGTGGTGTCTGTGATGTCGTTACATCGCATACCGTGACTCTCTATGGCCGGCACAGCACAGTGACATCCCGCGATGTCACTACAGTTCTTTAATAATCAAAATGGAATGTAGTTGCCTGGACTAAATGACTACCACCCTGATGTATGCATAACTTGCAAGGTTTGTAAGTGCGGTTGCACATGATGAACCTACACATAGAGGCACTTGCTGTGTAGGTGGATCCTGCTACTACTGCTGCTGCTTTATTTTGTGAAAAATATGTAGGGAATATGGAAATGTACAAGAAAAATGTATTAAGCTATCAATACACGCTCTCTTCAGAATTCAGGCATCAAATATAACCTGGAGCTTGTGTTAAACTAATTGCTCACATTTTGTGTTTTTATTGCGTGTTAATCATATAATATAACGTGTACGCACACTTTTGAGTGCAAAATACCGTATTGCATATCATGAGACCTCCTTTTCCAGTACCAAATTATGAGAATAGGTTTTCCCCTTTTTTCCGGCAACAAAACAGGTGTTAAGATGTTAAAACACCAAACTGAAACCTTTTATTGGGAATCATCTCTGCATTAACCACAATACTTGTGGTCAGAATGCAAACAAAAAACATACTCTGATAATAAATGCATTGTCTTTGAAACTGATTGGTCCACACCAGAGACAGCTTTTTTATTTTTCTTTCTTTTCTAAAGAAAGCTGTCTGGTGTGGCTGCAGCAGCTCTCTCGCTACATTTCTTCCTGCCTCAGCAGTCCGCCTGCTGTATTTTTTCATCTGAAGACGATTGCTTGTGTTGCGATCGAAACGTCGTGATTTTTTAAAATCATTTTTTTTATTCTTTTATCTACGTGACTTTACCGAAAGACCCAAAGAATATCTTAACACCTGTTTTGTTGCCAGAAAGAAGGGGAAAACCTATTCTCATACCGTATTGCATGTGTACTCGTAGGGATGTCTAAAACGCTATTGGTTCACCTGGTTCTATGTATTATTTAGCGAACACTGTTACACCATAACTGCACTGAGCAACAGATACGACAATAAAACGTAGATTAAAGTGTCGTGGTCTGAAGGTGCAGCCCAGTCGTGCCCGGCACGCCCTGTTCATGTTACACTCCTCCAGCCGGGAGGCATCCGTCTCCCTCTGGCTCCTCCACAGCGTATCAAGCGACGATGTGGAGAGAACATTGGAGCTATGCACTTTTAAATCGTCTAGATTGAAAACTCATTTATTTTGAACTGCTTTTTTTGTTTGTGTTTAGTTTGTTGTTCCCCCCACCCGCACCTCCGATGAGCACGGTTGGCTACGGACAATGCGAAAAAAGTTCAACATGCATAGAGTACATACATTGGTTTGACCTGAACTCGCAAACCACGGTTTAGCAGCAAAGCTTTAGAGACACACGTATAACAAGAAATGAATGGCTGAATCGTGAATAAACCAATATTTTAAAAAAAGTATGAAGTATATTCAAGTTTTACGTGGTATTTATTCCAGTAATGCCATAAGTTTAACGTGGGACCTAATGACACATACTTTACAAGTGTCGCCCGTTCATTCATTCATTCATGTCTGCGGTGTATTCATTTTCCGTGTTGCATCGTTCCGTTAGGTCACATTTAAGTCGTCTGCAAGACGAGTTTTGTGTTGTTTTTTGTTTTCCCTTGAGCACTTTACTACTTTAGCAGGTGGTACATCCAATGCCAGGGCACTCTGACCTTTACTTGCAATCCTCACACACTTCACGTAAAGACTCACAGAAATGGGGGTCACGTGTATTAAAATAAATTCTGTTCAGAGACACGGCGTTGTGTTTGGCTCACCACATTTGCGTCTCACGCAATCTGTTTACACGGTAAGTGTGGCTTTGTGTTGTTTTAGTTATGCCTCAATGGCATTCACCGCATTAATTCACATGTCGTTGGACGTAAAAAAACAACAACTAGACTTGCAGTAAACATGACGTGCTCTATAAAACAACACGGTTACATAACACGTGGTAACTTCGGCCTGCTCTTTCACGCTGGCCAGGCACGAAACGCGACCTGCCCATTGACCAGCTGTGGGGTGGAGGGGAGGGGGTGTCGCTTTGAGGCACTTGCCGATTCTTTTAAGTCAGAGGTGGGGGGGGGGGGGGACCTTTTTCTAAGTGCGGCACAAATGGGACAGTTCAAAGTAGTATTGGTGGGCCACAAATGAAGATGTACCTCTCAGTCACTTGTGTCACACTGCGGGAGGCCCATTGCAGTGATGGAAATGATTCGGCGCGCTGAAATGAGAAACATTGTACGTGTTGTCAGGTTGAAATATCTCCCCCCCCCCCCCCCCACTCTATATTACCTGATTAGTCCATCTAAGATGCGGTGATGGACCGATACTACTGGGCCACGTGATATGAAGTCGTTGGGCTGGGCTGTGTATATGTTCCCTACTCCTGCATTTCATAATGGGATATTGAAACAAAGTTAAACATAAAGAGAACATCTCATTGTCATGAGTGATTGTCCATCCTCTGTTGGATGCATTCACGTAGGATTGTTGCTAGACATAGCTTCAGCGCCAGCCATGATTAATCCGCTGCTGGATGATGGCCATTCCTCACGTTCCTGTGATGTAATACTCTACCTGGCCCCTGCACGTGACCTTATTTCACTTTTCCATCATCCTCAGTGGACGTATTCTCGGACACGTTGCATTTCTTGGATGCCCGCTGTTATTATTCTTCATCATCGGTCATATGTTGCTCTCTAATCCATTGTTTGTCTCTTTCGGTCTCTCTAATTCTCAGCGTGAATCTCTCCACCCCTCTTGGCACACTTCTGTACTGTTCATTCATGAGCCATGTTTATGAACGACGTCATAGCGGCTGAGGTGGACTGATTAAATAGAGCTTATTCCTTACTCTGTATCCCTTTGGTGTGATTAAAACGTCTGTTGGCAACACACCAAACGGTTGTGTTGCTCAGCTTATACAGCTGAATGCATTACCGACCTCTGCGTCATGGCTTTATCTGTGGAAACAAATGAGGTTTTGCCGGATAACACATTTTGTTTACACGGTAAGAAATATGTCTAAGAGCTATACATTGTTAAGTGTTGAAAAAAAGTTTTTTAACCGAAAATCGAAAGCAGCTGCCGGGGTTTTCATTGTTCGGGGCCATCCATTTAGAGCGTGGGGGGGGGGGGGGGGTAACCCAAGTGGAGGGGGGGGTAACCCAAGTGGAGGGGGGGTTAACCCAAGTGGAGGGGGGGTTAACCCAAGTGGGGTGGGGGTTAACCCAAGTGGAGCGGGGGGGTTAACCCAAGTGGAGGGGGGGTTAACCCAAGTGGAGGGGGGGTTAACCCAAGTGGAGGGGGGGTTAACCCAAGTGGGGTGGGGGTTATCCCAAGTGGAGGGGGGGGGGTTAACCCAAGTGGAGGGGGGGTTAACCCAAGTGGAGGGGGGGTTAACCCAAGTGGGGTGGGGGTTATCCCAAGTGGAGGGGGGGGGTTAACCCAAGTGGAGCGGGGGGGTTAACCCAAGTGGAGGGGGGTTAACCCAAGTGGGGTGGGGGTTAACCCAAGTGGGGGGGGGAGTTAACCCAAGTGGAGGGGGGGTTAACCCAACTGGGGGGGGGGTTAACCCAAATGCGTACGCTTGCGTATGGGTTGGGGGGGGGGTCTATTGACAATGTACGTATGTATAGGAAACGGGGGGGCGGAGGCGGTGAAGCCTCGATAAAAATTTGACTACATTGGCCTTCAAATGAGCCACAGGTCAGTGTCTTCAGCCGTCAGACAACAAGTACTAGCGGGAGAGGTGGGGCTGTGGGAGAGGTGTCACTTGTTATGTCACCGTACCCCTGACAGCTCAGCAAAATAAGTGGCCTAGGTACGCAACTTCATTATTTAATGCAGCCGGCGGTGGACTATCTGTTTGCTTAAACAGGTTAATAGTATTAATTCTTGATCGTTTCTGCGTGGATGAAATATCGGCCGTTCTATAGATTCGGGGGGGGGGGGGGGGGTAAAAAGTCCGCGTGCGTACAGGGATGGGGGGGGGGTCAAGTTTTGACAGATTCTTGCGTGCCTACTCAATGGATGGCCCCTTAGCCCACTGGACGGGACTTGCATTACCGAGTTCGCTAATTCGATCTCACCGTGCGGTATGTTCATCCAGCAGCATACATGGGCACAATCACAATCGGCAGGTCAGCGTGTGGTAGGATGTATTCGGTATGGGAGAGTAGACCAAAAGTTGCCTGTAGTTGAGGCCCTTACACCAGCGGTGGCGTGAGCAAGCAAAGTAATTGCTTGAAACGAGTGCAAATGTACCAATGATCACGCGTGCATATCTGTGTCATTCCACTGGAAACGATGACTGGTTGCTGACTTTCGGGAACTGATGCGCTGCGCTGTGAACCTAGAGACCTGAGTTTGATTCCTGGCCGGGGGTGCTGCAGTGGCTAGGAGATGTTAATTAACTTCCTCGCCTGGTATGCAGGCAGTCGCGGGTTCGATCTCGACCCTGATGACGTCTGTGGTATATTTGGAGTATGCAGTCTCTCTCGTGGTCGCGTGGATTTTTCTCCGGGTCCTCCGGTTTTTACCTCCACGGTTAGAATCGACGCGCGTTTAGAGTATTTGGCTGCTATAAATTTCCACGTGATGATGAGCCACTCCGTAGAGCTATCATTTGTGGCCAGATCGCTTCTGAAAAAGAGCTACATAGCTCAGTGGGTCTTACCTGGTAAAATAAAATAAAAATACCTAAACTGGTCATGTCCCCCCACCCCTGCCCACCCATTTTTACCAAACCACAAAGATCAGCTTGGTGAGAGATGTTTTTACAATCCCTACGGACTGACATGGCACGAGGGGGTCGTATTCTCGCATTGTGATGAGCAAAGGGCTTCTTCTTCTTCTAAGATTCGTGTATTTTCATACACCAAAATCTGTTGATTTATGTTACATTCATATCTTCACGTGATTCATCCTTACCGTTAAACCTTTCTTTTAAAACTCCTGATTTTTTAATGAGTTGAAACTGAATTCAGTCTGAAAAAAATATATATAATACATCATTATAACCTTGAGTTGTTATTTCATGACAACTTCCCAACCCCTAGTCTCATCTAAAACGATTTTAATTAGGCTCCAGGAGTATGTGCTTCCAAATTCCAACATATGCTTTGTCCTTCATGCCCACACACAGCTGCAGCCTTATCTCTCCAAAGCATGCGATGTGGGAAGAGGGCCAATGCCCAGAACTAATGTCCTTCATTGTGGGGAACGGCTTTGCACCTTGCCATAAATGGTCTCCTTATATTCGCAGAATTTCTCTCTCCATGTTTAAGTTTGAGCAGGTACTCAGAGACGAGCGTCACCATTTCTTGACTCCCTGGGTCAACTGTATGTGAGGAATCTTATTTGGAACTTCAAACCTCAACAATTACGTTTAACAGTAAACGCTGAAATTGAATAACATCTCGGCAGGGTTTGTTAAAGGAAATGGTAAGTTGTACACATTTTACATCTCATTCACAACTTTATATACGTAAAAAATGAAGCACCGTGATTTTTATAATTTATCGCAGCGACTTTATTATATTTAAGTGCATATGTGCAGTAATATATAGATTCACTACACGGCGTTTTTGCTCCACAAATGGGATATTTGTGTTCTGAACAGTCACTTGTGTTTGATTCCTGGCCGTAGTTAACATTGGTGGTGAGTGATATCTGAACCGTCACTTCGCCCCTCATTCACCAACCTGCACTGCCCAGCGTGGTGAAGTATGGTTGAACAACCACCATCGCGGACACAGCAAGGGAAGATATTTCAGCTGAAGATTGATAACAGAGTTGTAAATTATTATCCTATTCTGAAATGTAAATGTGAGAGGGTCATTATTTGCATTTTAAGTAAAGCAGAGTATATTCCTACCCATATTACCATTGGGTTGGTGTTCTCATTTCCACTGGCAGTTATTAATTGGGAATTCCACATTCCTATGGCGCCACTGTGGCAAATTGTTAACTACCTCGCCTGGTTAAGGAGGAGTTCATGGGTTCGATTTCGACCCTGACACCTGCATATTTGGAGATTACATGCTATCCCCGTGGTCGCTTGGGTTTTCCCTCCACATTTCTAAACATGCGTTTAGAATATTTGGCTGCTATACATTTCCACATGATAAGCCACTTCGTTGAGTTGTTATCTGTGGACAGGTCGCTTCTGAAAAAGAGCTATATAGCTCAGTGGGCCTTAATGGTAAAATAAAAAAAGTAGTTACATTTTTAGTTTCGTTTCATCGCTAGAACAACCACTGTTGACTTTCCGCAGTATTGCATTTCATTGTACAAAATTATTTTATCGCAATCGTTTTTTTATCATTGCTGACTGTTCCTGTCTCTTGTCCGCAGACGAAGAGAAAAACCATGCTGGTGTCATTGGTTTTCATGACCTCTGCGCTGCTCACGGCGGAGACATACATTTGTAAAGAGCCTGGCAAGCCGATAAACCTCAGGCGGAGTAACTACACCAAGGTTCCATTGTGGAACAATTCGTGCCACTCCGTGAAAATCATCGACTTGAGTGGCAACAGCATTGGATACATTGGCGAAGCGAGCTTTAGACTCATTCAAAACTTAACGGTGAGGGCGTATTTTAAACAGCTAACATAATTTGCAATTGATGTATACAGCTATTAAACGCATTAAGTGTCTGTACAGGGTGCTTCAAAAAATGTTAATACTTTTTTGGGGCTATCGTTTTTAATGCAAAAATAACGGATAATACACTGTAACATCATAACAAATGTATGTTAATAGCTTCATAAAGTCAAAGAGTCTCCACTTGATCGCCATCGTTGTCAACACGTGGCCTGGAATCATCTCCAGGTGGTCTCCAGACCCCGGGGGCAGCAGCAACATGTCACGTGGTAATGTTGCAAATTCTCAGAAGTGTTAATATTTTTGTTGAAGCACCCTGTATAAGGGATACCATTTTGTCTAATAGTAATGAGAGCCATGACCAATAGCATTCTCATTAACAACTATATGCTCAACAAGCCTTGGTTCACATTTTGGTGAATGCTATTTTCTTGTGAAAACATGGCGATTAAAGCTGAAAATGTGAATTAACAGGGTACAGTGTAAGCACATTGCTTTGGCATACTTTCCAACTCTACCAATTAAGTCTGGTAGGCTGCCAATTTTTTTTAAACCGCAATACTGCACGCTAACCATATGGCTTTCAGTGCGATTGTGAACATGGCAATAAATACTATATATATTTTGTATTTCTTTTAACTTTTTTCAAAAATGCATTCGTTGTAATGCAGTAAGTCGGTTTAAAATACAGACAATAAAATGTACTTTATTGTGTTTATTTTCGTTTTTATTTCTATATATTTTTTAAATACATGGTTAAAAAATATTCCAGAAAATAACTGTTTGGTATTTGTTTCTTGGACACCTACCTGCCTTCCTCTCTTTGTTTCCAAAATGTCGGCACACATGCAAGAGTGTATTTCGCTATTCATATTTGCTGTATGTAATTAGTGAAATTAATTATTTTTGGTAGTAATTACCCATGCTGTCAACTTTTAATGATCACATAATTTGCTCGCCCTCGAAGAGAGATAATGACTGTTAGTGGCGCGAGGAATCACAGAATAGTGGTTGAAAGGCAGCCAGCCAGTGAGCCAGCATCAAACAAAACTATTTTTTTTATTATTATTTACCAGGTAAGGTTCACTGAGCTGTGTAACCATTTTTCAGAAGCGACCTGGCTGTCACAAATGATAGCTCAACGAAGTGGCTTATCATCGTGTGGGAAATTTATAGCAGCCAAACACTTTAAACGTGGAGAGGAAAATCGGAGAAAAATCCACGTGACCACAATGGGCATATTTATCTTATATGAAGAAAGAATCAGAGGTCTCCATGCGAGTCTTTGTGAGTCTGGGTGATTGTATGGGTTTCAGTAAATCCATGAGAGTCTATACAATAACATTCTCTCCCCACCGCCCATGTTCTGCGGTCCACTATATATTTCGGTGTTATTGAACAATCAATTAATGTTCATACATGTGGGAGGAAAGCGGAGAGCCTGGAGAAACCCCACGTGTACAAGGGGTTAACACTCTATCCGATACAGATGGCCCACCACCGCCAGGCAGTAGTGAAAGGTTTATACAGCATTTTCACATTACAAACGCTTTCCGTTGCTATATATGTTCACATTACCTCTGGGCAAGAGACACTGGTGCCTACACCATTTTTTTTGTCAATACATTATAGCAAGACTACACGTTAAGGGTGTACAACATTCAAGTGAATCCCCCAGCGAGTGGATGAATTCTTGAAAATTCAAGAATCGATGTAATGGCCTTTAGTGGTTGAACGGATGACATGAACATATTTAAACAAACACATTTTTAAAAAATGTATTGTAGTACGTGTGATTTGATGTCTGTGTCGTGATCTTAAGAATATATATTAATCCATTAATCGATGCATTATCCACCCCAACTGCTTTGTCCAGATACTCTATCTCAATGCTTCAGGTCTACAGAATATATCTGAGAATGCCTTTGGAGGAAATACATGTTTGGAAGAACTTTACTTACAGGAAAACAAACTCTCTGAATTCCCCATGAAACTCATTCAACATCTACCCAAACTGCGCACTCTCAGCATCTATTCAAATCGCTTCTTGAAAATTAATGGTATGCATTCAGTACACTTCTTATTATTATTATCATCATCATCATCAAATACATGAAATTAAGTTGTCTCATATGTATTAATGATTGCAATATACAAGTGTCAGTAAAGTGGAATTAATTATAGATATATGAATACAAATATAAATATGAATTATCATCTGATGACTGGAGGAATCTCCATGCTATTTTGCCCATGGAAGTTGACTGGCCACAATTCACCATTCTGGTCATTTGAAGTGGGGGCCAATGGCTAGGAATCAATCTTGGTGCAGTGTGCTAACAACTGCGGCACCACCCACCACCCCACCCCCACCCCCCCCCGTATATACATACATTTATGTATGACAAAGAATTATGTCAATCATTGAAGTATAAAATCGATCCAATTCAAATTGTAGCAATATTTATAGAGAAAGACCAGTTTTAATGTTTTTTTTAGTTCATATGTTATTAAATTTCTAGGAATACATTTCTATAAATCTATTTTAATGAGGAAGCTGCCGTTTGTGAACATGCGGATGTGATTTCTTTCAGATTTATTATTAGGTTTTACCCGTGTATGTCATTCAGGACTCCCTTGCAAAGGGTGTATCTCAATCTGATCTTAAGTGGCTGAAGTGACATGGATTTACATAACAAATCAACTGTAAACATGTCGCCATATACTGCACATTAAAACACATTTATGACCCTGCTCGAGTAAAAGTCTGCAATAGCCTGAGCTGCCTAATGGACAACATTAGATATGCACCCACTCATTTAGTGATATGAGTTTTGTTTGTTTAATATTTAAACGTAACTACTGGTTCATCAGGTTTCAGCAGTCTTAATGCTCAACTGGAGATGCTCTCTCTTGGGCCTCAGCAAACAATGCACTCTCTGGACACACTGGATTTCCGTCATCTTTCATCTCTCAAGGTACATATGTATTAGCAGTATCTCACATACTGCATTCATATTTCCATACCTGCACTTCACGGAGATTGCGATATTTTTATTTATTAATTTTAATATTCATTGAGAATGTGCATTTTGCATGTTTTTTTTATTCAAACTATTGACACATTTAAATATATTGTACAGCACTGCAATGTAATTTCATTTTTTTTAAGTATTAACGTAGCATCGTAACATCTCGCTGTTTTCAATGTACTTGTAGGTTCTTAATCTGACGAAGATGAACATCGTGAACGTGCCACATTTTCATCCATCATCCTTCATTGAACATATTGATCTTTCAAGCAACGACCTGGAATTCAACGCAAATGACTTTGAAAATTGTGAACGTCTCAAAAGCATTAGCTTTAAAGGTGAAGGCACACCACAGGGATTGGGATCATGCCATTAAAGTTATAAGCTCTCCATTAATCACACCGTATTTGTGAGGAATTTGTTGATTCATCTCGTTAAAGTGACCAATAAGTGGAGCATAAATATAACTATACTCCAGAACTCTTATGCATTACCATATTAGCTTATAATCTGGAGAGCTGTAACAAAAACTCCTGTGTTCAGCAGAGGTCCTATTCCTAGAATTACTTAATTATCTGTGATGTCTCGATAAAGTGGAGAATGTGTGTCGAATATTGATTCCCACATTGCCATGGGTACGAGCAGTTGTTGTCTAATTTACACTTTTACATTGCAACCTTTATCTTATTTTTGACAGACTTAGGCCAGAATGTAAATTATACATACAACACACACTGTAACGCCTCAGTGCTCTTGCATTTTTGAGTAGAAAGTATTCTTGCCTTAGATAATTTAAATGCTCATCATTTTGAGATCATTGTTAAACTATAACTAAAGTGATGGGAAATTGCGAGGGCAAATCCCTGACACCAGATTTTGCCGATCTAAATTGGATGAAATACGCGTAATTACGTGTAAATGCTATTGTTTAGAAGTGATCGGTAAAGTCACCCACCAAATCCTGAATCTAGCACAATTGTTTTGGTCGTCCCTTAAAACAGTACAGTTCTGTATACACTTGTGATGCTTCACCCACTGAAGTTGTCTCCTGCCCATCTCTCGGCTAGCGTGCAACATCGATAAGCTCGTCTTCGACCTATTCAAATCTCAAAAGAATCTCAAGAAGCTGGACTTGACTGAAAATCCACTCAAGAGTGATTTCCACACAAACTATGCCGTTATTCGGAGCCTTGTGGACAAGAGGATTCAGGTTGAAGTGACCTGCCTAGAATGTTCAAATTGGTGCAATGTGAGTGTTTACTGCGTGACGGTCTGCACGCAGTACATCTTACCGTGTTTTTACAGACTATATTTTAATATCCCGTGTATTATAAAGTAAAAGTCCGGTAGGTGTGTGTGAGTGTATGATTCACACTCACACACACCAACCTTCACGTGGACTTGAAGTGCACTTAGCCTGGCACAAGCGCCGTGGCTTCGTGGCGAATGGCGGTTCTTGTTGATTCGCACGGGGCACAAGTGTTGGGGTGTGTCTAACTTTCCGGGGCATCTACTAAGAAAAATATATATCCATTTTACGATGTAACGAGAATAAAATGTCTGTCAGACAATATTTATTACCTTTTCTCATATATCAGTAAATTGGGTAAGCATTATTTTAAGTGTTAGCCTCTTATGAAGTGGAATACAAATATTCGAATATAACAATTGACGCTGGAATGGTATTTATATAGTACTTCCAATGTCGATACATACCGTCATGACATTTAATAATAACAACCCTTTTATCTTTTGCAGAACATATTCCCAACTCTGAAAATAGTTTGTAATGCACATGAAAAAAAATACAATTGGTGTCTAAAACAATGTCCACAAAACTCTGCTGTGAATAATGGAAATAAACACCGAGAAAGCAGCATTAATTACACACTCTTGATCATATGTAAGTGAGCACACACAGCATCATTTGCAATGTGTACTATAAGGATTGGCTTATAAATGTATAGAAATGTGCCCGTATGCTGAACTTCTTTCGTACCGTACGTAATCAACCGTGCTGAAATCGGAGGCACGGGGAAAGGTGCATCCCTGTATTTAATTGCACGTGCCACTGCCGGCAGAATGGCCTCCATCAGAGAGCTCCTCTTGAAACTCCTCGTTTGTTGACAGACGTGGTGCAATAGCTGGGGGGGCTGGGGGGGGGGGGTACCCACACTTTAACCCACCACAAATGCGACCTGCCGATTTACAAAATGTATACATATTTTTGAAAGTAATAAATGATTCTGACACTAATACGAAGAGATAGTGTTTGAACCAATTGCCGTAGGTAAATCACTGCAAGGGAATCTCAGCCTTCGAAAGCGCCTCAGATTAGCACGGTTTGGCTACGTACCACGTGAAAGAAGTTCAACATGCAAACATAATCATACCATGAGTAATTCAGTTCAGGTGCCTGATAAGACGGGTTTGATGGGTGGCTGGGCAGAACATGAAGGCACACCTGCTGTTAAACTAAACATGACATTGTCGACCATGTGTTTTTACAACAGGTTTTAACTATATGCATAAATGTATTCACATGTAACACGTAAGCTTTCGCGACCAATGTTATTCCTAATGAAGGTTTTTGTGTTAGATGGGGGTAAACGACACATTTATATTTACGCAATCTAAACCAATAAACCTTTATTATTAATGTATTAATATATTTATGCATTTGTATAAGGGAATTTTAAACACATGCATATGTGCACCGTCATGGCTATATATCTATATTCTTGTGTTCTTTAGGCCTCTGGTATTACTAATTTGGAAGGGAGACTGCTTGGGAATAATAATAATTACATCTTAGCGTCTTGCACAAAATAACGAAGCACTTACATCAATAACAATGGGGATGAGGTTGGGTTAGAAGTGGCTCTGGGCTAAAATAGGAAATGCCTTCTGAAAGATAAATGTTTTTAGATGGGACTTGAAGATCCGAACCGACCCCGGACTACCGGCAGCTTTTGGCAGAGAGTCCCACAATCCACGTGGCACAAAAGCACGAGGCTCAATCGCCCACGGACTTGAGCTTCATTGTGGTGATGCAGGGGTGCAGTAACTCCCTAAATACATGGAGGAGGATGTCTGTGAATTCTATGCGTAATTTGACCAGCAACCAGTGAAGAGGAGGGGCAATATGTTCTGAACGAGGAGTTCGGGCCAGGACACCAGCAGCTGTTTTCTGAGCAGGCTCGAGTCGACAAAGTACCGTACTACACGTTCCAGATGGCTCGGCGTTTCATTCGTCAATGTGTGTACAAAAATAAAAGCACGAACCAATTTCTCCGCATCAGCGGCTCAGAGGACGGGACGTAATCGGGCAATGTTCCGAAAACAAGAAAAAAAGCGACCTTTACGATTTTATTAATGATGGTCATGTTGATTTTATTAATGTGCGCCTCAAAGGTTAGAGATGGATTGAGGGACACACCGAGATTCCCGGCTTGCTGTGCAGGCCGTACGTTGAGACCATCAATCATCACACTGATCGGACCAGCCTTTACCAGCTGGTGGTAGGATCCAATAAGCATAACCTCGCGTTCTATACTAATACCACCTGTTGTTTGCTAGCTTCGAGGTGCCCAGTAGATAGCAGTACAGCAATACATTCTTAAATCTACCATATTTTTTGCGTGTCTTTTATTCGGGCACACCAGTTTCCTCCCATAAGAAATAAAAAAAACATTAATCTGATTGGCCAAAGAATTCCAAATGCAGGACCCTCCTGGGAGAGTCTTGGAACTCAGTTTTTTTTATCGAGGAGAATAGAGATAATTGTTTTAGCGCATGCATTCACTAATTTAGTTATTTGTTTGTTGTCTAATTGTTTCCCGTTTTAACCACCCACCCCCACACACAGGTATATTGATGGTGATGTTGTTTATTTTCATTACAACCATCATATTTTGCAAGATGAAGGGATCAAGAAAACTCGAAATACTAAGACCAGAAGGCTCCAGCCACATTACAAACACAACTTACACTTAAGTATTGTGTACTTCAAAAGAGATCATGCATTGATTTTCCCTTTCCATGTTTGATTCTAAAACTCTCAATTCATTTCAATATGGTTTGTGGTTTCTAAATGTCATTCATGACAAGTCACTAAATTGTGTTAAGTGAATCGTTGAGTATTGTTTTTTTCGTCTAATTATCAGTTCACATCTTACTATTCACATATTTTACATCAAAATAACTTTAGTGCATGTATTGTTTAAGTGCTAACTAAGCTGAACGTATTAAGTTTTTGTCAATTCTCATTTTAATAAAGTGATATTATCGAGTGTCAGTTGCATGTCGTTGTGGATGCCATGTATTTAAAAATACAGAATGCCTTTATTTTAATTAGATACCATATAAAATACCCTGCGATGTGTTTTCAGGTTGCACTGTGCGTTGCTTGACGTGATGACCGACGTCTCACCCCATGTGCTGAGAGCTTCTTCAGGAAATGAATTCTCAGAAGAGCACGTGGCGCTAAATGTCCAATACACTACCGTGGTATTGGACATTTAGCAGACACAACATGAAAGCTATACAGCTACGCTACGTAAACTGCATGTATTAAGCATGTCAGCTGTATACCTCATACACTCTTGGCAACTCAAATCGTCTATGTTAAACTCGTTTTGCCACCTTTAGAATTTTTAAGCGAATTCAAATTGGTAACGTTTCTGGTTTTTTTGGTTCCGGTACGACGACGCCTCCACTAAGTAACAAGAGCAGCCACGAATGACATCGCGCGAACTTTCAACTCACCACCTTTCAATTGCATAGACCTTGAGGAGTTTTCGGCATTGCTATATTGTACTTTACACAAGGGGGCACTATCTGCTTGAAAAAAAACCAAACAAACCTATGCTGAGGTTAGTCATGCTTAGCCCCTGACGTCTGTGCCCATTGCAATATTGATCTGACATGGGCTACAAATGCGAAGGCAATTCTTTGCTCGTGCCGAATTGAACATTGACGTTCACACAGTGCATGTAGTGGCATATTAATGAAACAGATGAATAGTAATTAAAATACACTGGTTCCATGTTTTATTCCATCTAAAATTGATGCTTTTTATTCACCAGCCAATCACTTTTCCGTGTAATGTAAATAGTCACGCAAATAGTCATTTAAGAAACGCAAATCGATATTTTCTCTCTGATCACACTGCGTTCCTGAAATACATTTTAAGGCATCTCTCGAAGTGGTTGAACTCAATCAAGGGGTTGGTTTGTTCTTGACTTTGTCGCGTCGAGAATTCCATGCGACCGGTGCCCTCCTCGGCCTTCTGAAAAGCTCGGTCGCCATGCGGTCTTCAGACGGCTTCCTGCAACAACAGCGACAACATCGAGATCGCCACGAGCAGCAGTAGCAGCAGCTTCATATTCTTATATTTAGTCTTAGCACATGCTGTATGCTGTATTATGTATAGCTTTCTCCCTCCCCATCTACAAAATGCCCACCACTCCAACAACCAAAGGCTTATGTCGTTATTCCTTAGCTCCAGTCAACTTTTGTTCAAGGTTACTTCACTCCTCACCTCTGTTTTAGCTTTATTTCCCCTTTCAGCCTTTGTGAAAGAAAATCTAAAAAAAAACTTTGATTCTATTTCCCCTTATTCTACGATATTAATGTCCATCTCACCTACTCCTCATTTCTACAGCGTCTTGAAATGCAGTCTCATTTACACACCGTGTAACGTCAAATCGTATGATCATAAGCTTGCTTGCATGGTAACGATCATAAGTTATGACAAAATATTGAAATACAGTACAATTATTTACAAATTGTTTCTTGTTTCTTGTTTTTTTAACGCGTTGAAACTGGTCCAGAGTTTTTTTTTATTAACACATTCTCTTGTGGATAATATTGGTCTAGAAAGCAAATTTACTTTTGCGTCTTCATATACAACAGTTGTGGAGACATGAGTTGTGGAGACATGAGTCTGCTTTACGGAATCATACTTATTTTACGGTATCATACTTATTCAAATGTGTTTTCCCCACTTGCGTAATGCCTATCAGTAAAGAGTTTTTTTGGATGTATGAGGATGTATTCATGTAAGCACTCACGTGCAGTATTCTTGCATTTGGATGAGTAGTCAGGCAGTGGAGGATATATTTTCCATCTGGAGTAACACTCTCAGCTTTCTAAAACTAAAATCCTGAGCACTTGAATCGTGCTCTGGTACACGAATACTGGACATTACTGGTCTATGCCCCTATTAAAATCGTAACAGGCACTATAAAAAGTAGCTTATATATGACACAAACATTGCAAATATATTGAGTGACGAAATCTTGATCACACGTTTAAAAAATGCATACGAGCGATACAGAAATAATGTCATTGTAAGTAAAAGCTAAGAAATAAATCGCTTAACATTTATCCTCAATAGCGTGGATCTGCCTACATTGCTGTTCGTCCTTGTAACAAAAATATGATCATATAGCGTGAGTCAGGAACGCAATGTCCCGCTTTGCTGAATCAAAACAAGTAAACCGCATTATGCTATAACCCTCGCCGTCAACTTTCACGAGTTCACAAAAAGGCCCCAAACGCTGTGGCAGATTTTGTTCGGAAACCAAGGAAACGACTGACGTTACAGAACGGCTTCTTGACGCAATTAATGGCACGTAATAGTCCATTTCCTGGAAAAAATTGAAAGCTCCTCGAGCATAACACATCTTACACAATATTCACTGCACAAAGCTGCCACGCACTGAGACCAAGCTTTTGTGCAGTAGAATTACTCTTCAAATGTCCATTGCTTTGTGTGCCTAAGGTGCCTGGTTCTGATTAAGGAATTGATTTGTTTTAACCATGACATTGCCTATTGTGACGTGCACATTCATTACACAATGTTGGAATGATCTGTTTAATGTTTCTTCAAGTAAACTGTAACAAAAATCCAAATTGACATATATACATTTTAGCTTTAACTGACCAAATAGTATGGCCACATTTTTGGCATAAACCTGTCCAATTAAAATGTTTTCAACAACCACCATTCACTCTTTGGTTCTTTCGGTTAAAGTCACGCAGAAAGAAAATAAATTAAATAATATAATACGACGACGTTTCGATTGCAACACAAGCAACCGTCATCAGGTAGAACTAAATTTGAGAGAGAGACAAACACAGACACGGAGACACACAGACAGACACACAAGCAGAGAGAGACAACACAGACACACAGAGAGAGACACACAACATAGACACACAGTTCTACCTGATGACGGTTGCTTGTGTTGCAATCGAAACGTCGTACTCTATTATTTATTTTCTTTTCTTTCTACGTGACTTTACCGAAATAACCAAAGAGTAATTCCTACAGTCACGAAAGCTCCAAATCAAGTTTGAACCACCATTCATTCACCACTAAGTGCCGGTAACGTCATCACGGCGCTTGCGCCAGGCTAGATCAGCTCCACCATAGGTCCTGGTGTTAAGGACATGTGCCTGCTTCCGTTTTCCATCACTATGTAACCGAGCAGATTTTCCTTCTTGGACCCGGCGTGCCTCTATGATGTGGGGATGTCCTGATGCCAGAATAGTGTATGGGCATAACTCGCTATACATTTGGGTTGCGTTCTTGAAAACCTGAATGTAAAGTGGAAAATCGTATGTGGAAATGTATTTTTCCATAAGGTCCCATTACATCACTAACCTAAGGTGTGTTCCTTAGAAAATATGTTCTAACCCAAAACCTACAAATGCGACACTTTTTAAACACAAGCAAGATATTTTCATGCATAATTATGGAGACTAATGACTGGACAGGTATTTAAAACAAATACTGTACACTAATTTAGCAACACAGAAACTGGTGCATGGCGTATGAGACGATGCTCTGGCGAGATTTCTGAGGGATGGAGGGGTTACTGGGACGGTGGGGGAAGGGGCAGAGTGGTGGAACTCCACGGCTGGGCTTGTAAACTGGTAGTGAGTTCCAAAAATATATAATTGAGAATACAAAAAATATATATAATTGAGAATACAAAAAAAACCCGTTATAACGTAAAGTTATGACGAATGTGTCAACCAATCATCGTAAATCGGATTCACGTATATCGGAGTACACATGTATTTGCCGATTACAAGACCATGGGCTGCACAGAAGTTTAGCAGCCTCCTACCGTTGTTATTATGCTGATGTTACCCATGCCTTCCAACAGGGGTGCCGCCAGAAATTCTGGGCCCTATGGAAACCAAAATTTCTGGGCCCCCTACATTTTTTACAGATAAAATTTAACCCAATAAACATGCCCAGTATACTTTAAAAAATATACTTAGCACATTGCATAGTTAAAATGTCTAAAGATGAGTACAAAGCCTACAAAAACAAGAAAAAAATATGGAAATATGTACTTGTTTACATAAAAGGGAGAACATTTATTATCTCAATTGCAATTGCAAGCACAACAGAACATAATGTACACATATTGACATATACTTTACATGAACAAGCTTTAGCTGGGTCAAACTGCTCAATCAGGAAACATCAGCTAGAACTAACCCATAATTAAATCAGTCCAGGAATAAAACTAGCTAGGCCAAAAGGGCTCAAAATGAAGACACACCAGGAGTAATGCCAGACCTTAACCAGTCCAGGACTAAACAAGTACTGAACCAGACATCAACTGTTTGTTATCCAGGTCTAACAAAGTTATGTTCAACGTCACTTTATAATGGCCCAGCGGCGTGCCTTTCTGCTGGCAAAATCACGTATCAAATCATCAAAGTTCAGCTTTCTTGCCAGTTTGCTTTCAATGGATAGTATGGCAAGGTGACAAAGTCTATCCTGCAACATAGCAGACCTCAGATAATTTTTATCAGTTTCAGCTTGCTGAATGCTCTCTCGCCACCAGCAACGGTCACAGGCAGTGTGCAAAATATTCGCAAAACTATGCAGACCTGCCCAAATATACTCTGCAACTGCATCTTGTAAATGCTGTTGAGCAGATAAATTGGTGACAGACACCCTGGGAAAGTGGCCCTATATACAGAGTTGAGGTGTCTGACTTCATCTTCAAATTCACAAGTCAGATCAGTGTTGTATTTTGAAATCAATGGCTGGCATACAGAATGGATTTGATCATCACGTAACTGACCCATTTTTACAACTACAGTAAACTGATCCAAGATCTCAGCTGTTGTGGCAAACCTGGTACTTAAGTCATTGATTATGTGGTCCATCATGGGAAGAAACACAGTGTTTCTGAATATGGTGTCTGCACTGTGCTCCCTTGCTCCCTCTACCTCTGTCTCATCGTGAAACCGTTTTCTTTTCCTCTGGCGGCTGAATCCTGACCTGAACAGAGGGTTAATGCTCATCTGTTGGGCAACAATTGATGCTTCAGAAAAGAAACTCTCCCATTCATCCCTCAGATGTTGCATCTCCTCCTGCAATGCTCTGATATTTTCTGCCTCTGTCTCAAGAGTTAATTTCCCTGACTGGAGAATAATATTCCTTTTGTCAATGGCTTGCAGAACTTTGACCCAAACAGTCAACAGAAAAAAATTATCAAAAGTTTCAAAATACTTTTTTAGGCCGCTGGCTTCAGACCGAGCCTCTGGTGTCAGACTGCAGGTTGAGAGGATGGCATCAAGAGCTTCTAGGACACTGGGCAGGTGCTTGGCTATAGGTTGAACAGCCTTAACCCTTGCACTCCACCGAGTGTCTGACAGACGATGTAAAGTGCAACCCGTTTTTTGCCTTATAGATGGCCCATCGCTTTGGGCTGGCACTAACAAGTGCTTAAAGGCAATTGACAAAGCCAAAAAAGTTGGTAACCTCTGGACTTGATTGAGCTGCATGCACACCAACAAGGTTCAGAGTATGAGATGCACAAGGGGAAAAAGTAGCCAGCTTATTCTTTTTTAATAATTGGGCTTGAACCCCCTTGATTTTTCCAGACATGTTTGCCCCATTATCATAGTCTTGGCCCCTGCAGTCATTCAGATCTATGCCATGACTGTTAAGCACATTTACAATCATGTCTGCAATCTCACTTCCTGTTTTTTGTGAAAATATTTAAACTCCAAAAACCTTTCAACAACCTCCCATTTCTTGTTTTCTTGATCAAAACCTACATATCGTAAGAGTAATATATTTTGCTCTGTATGTGAAATATCAGGAGTAGCATCGCAAATGACTGAATAATAGACTGATTCCTCCCTTTCCTTAAGAATACTACTTAACACTCGTTTTCCACATAACTCCATAAATTCGTTCTGAATATCTGAGCTTAAATAGTGTGTCAATCTTGTTCCTGTTTTTTTTGTCTCTGACTTTTTGTAGATGTTCGTTGAGTAGTGGGTCATAATGGGACAGGAGCTCAAGGGTGCCCAAGAAGTTGCCATTATGAATATCCCCCAAGTCTTTTGTTTTACCCCTAAAGGGTAAATTTCTAGAGGCCAAGAACAAGGTTACATCTAGTATCCTCTTCAGAATAGCTCTATTTTTGTCAATTTCTGTTTGTATGAGCTTCTTCAGCTTGCTGTCTATTCCCCCAGGGACAGCTGCCATTACAGACTGTTGTAAGGTTTTCCATGTTAAGTAGCACTCCCTGTGTGCTTTGCTGCTTTCGTGGTTAGGGAATTTATCATACATTCGACGCCATGTTATGTCTTTGATTTTATAACCATGTTGACTGCTTAGTGCGCTCATACAAGGTTTCTTTAGTTCATGACCAAATAATACACAAGGAATACAAAATAGTGCATTTGTGCTTTGGCTGTAAATGACCCAGTCTCTCTTAATCTTTTCCCTGC